AAATTTAACAAACAATTAAAAAATATCACTTCATTTGGAACACATTTTAGAAGCTATTGGAATCAGATGAGCAGATTTGAGAGATATTGGTAAACTTTTGCGGAGATGATAGTGTCTGTTAAATGTATTATAGACATTACGTGTCTGTAAGATTTTCTTCACAAACATAAAATGTCTGTGAGAGTGTAGATAAACTATCTAAACCTCTTGTCACAAAACATTCCAACCAATTGGAAAACAGGCATTTTACGCCAGTAATAAGCACATCACAAACATTTTAGAGTAATCTATGAATCAGAGCAAGCTCTTTCGCAGAATACAGACATTTTGTGCCAACAAGAAGCACATCATAGACATTTCAAAGCAAGTTATGAAATTGAGCAAACTCTTTAATAAAATACAAACATTTTGCACCAATAACAAGCACTACACAGACATTTCGTAATAAGCATTTAAATTCCTAATTACCACAAGTTTTTAACAAAAAATCAGCCATTGAAAAGATTAAAAAAAGAATTAAATGATTGAATAAGTTTGAGAAAGAACGATTCACAAAAAAACATTTAAAAAAGACTAATTTTCACAAGATGGAAGGATTGATTTGTGGTTAGAATTGAATGATTGAATCAAGATTTACAAATAAAAACCCTAAAATTGAAATAAAAAGTGTTTATCATAACCTTTAATTTGATGTTGTACGGTGGTCAAGGCGAAGAAGATCGAAGAAGACGAAGGATGAAGTCTCCACCAAGTTGGATCTTCCACCGATGCACTACACGGAGGAAGGGGAAGTAGGTGATGTCACTGCAGAAGAACGAGGAAGACGAAGGAGGAACTCTGGGAGAAGGGCTGGTTGGGTTTGTCTTCCGGTAGTTGCCCGCTCCTTGCTTCCCTGGAGAGATCTGCGAAAGAGAGAGGGAGAGAGAAAGAAAGCAGGGGAGGGGTATAGAGAAAGAAGAAAGGGGGAGGGGGGGTATATGGTGTATGAATTGGGGTACACCACTGGTGTACCCTAGCGCGACTGTAGAAAATAATATCCAGAAAGAATTTGTTTATTCTTTTTGTTCTACTGAATATAAGAGAACAGTGACGGATCCATTACCCTATTATGGGGGCAATTGCCCCGTCAAATTTTGAGAAGTTAAGAATAATTAGGCATTTTTTGATTGTAATGGGTGTCTCCATTCCGAAATGTTTGATGCCCCCATTCAATTTTCGTACATATCGAATAAACAACGTAGTTTATTTTAAGTCTCATGCTTTTGCAATTCAATGGATATGGGTGGGGAGAAAGACCAAAGTAGGACTAAAACATTAAAAATATATCAAATTAGGACTTTCATGTTTTTATTCCCGAAATAGGATTTACATTATCAAACATGGTCATATACATTACCAAAAAAGTATAGTAATGTGCACATGTACACTACCACATTACCACAATGCAAAGTCACATTACCACAGTACAAAGTCCTATTTCGGGAAAAAACATGAAAGTACTAATTTGGTTCTTTTCTCTATGTTTTAGTCCTATTTAGGGTGATTTCTAATATGGATGTCCTTCCATTAAATGACTTCCATGTGGACTTCTATAATTCTATTAGACTTACCGAATTCTATTATCACATAAGATTAGGGGGAGGGTGGAGCACCATAAGAATAAGAATAGAGGGAATAGTAACCATCATTTTTTACAAACAGAGCACCGTAGGTATCCCAAACGAACTGTTGTAAACAAATGACACCAGTAGCACTGATGTCATTTTAGACTTACCGAATTCTATTATCACATAAGATTATTCCAGATGCTTTACTTTAATTTTAAAAAATGGCCAAATAGCTCCGGTGCCCTGTGGTTAGGAAAATTGGCATCAATACCCCCTGTTTCCAAAACTTATTTCTAAAGTATTTGTGGTTTCAAAAATATACAACAAAGTCTACTAATAAAATGCAAATGTAAATTCTCATTTCATAATTCAAATGTATTTCAAATATATATATTTGAATTCACTTACAAACAACTAACTAAAAACATTTGAATTTGCCAAAAAAATTTTCTTAACAACCAACACAAAGTGTCAATCAAAATAGTTAAGTCAATCATCCATTCAAACCAATCAACAAAAATAGCAACAACCAACTGCCAAAGTTTACTAGAGATGAAATTGATTACTCCCTCAGTCCCTCTATCTAAACAACTCTTTATATTTACTATTTTTTTACTTTTACCGATTATCAATTGTATAAATATATAGATGTAATTTATAAATATATACTATTTCATCTCTAAAAGTCTTTCTCATTTTGAATTTTAGGATAATTAATTATGGTATATTTTTGTGGTAACTTTCTAAAAATACTCTTGATGTGATGAATAAATTACTAGTAAAAAGGTATGATATGATAGATACTCCCTCCGTCCCACTATATTTGTCCACTTTCATTTTTGCACACCATCCAATACACTTCTTTAATCTATTTTATCTTGTAATTTGTATATTCAAAAATTATAGAAATTATATATTAATAATCTATATGTTAAGACAAATCAAACAAGATCACGCATGACTATATTTAGGCTTACACATTGAGAGAATTTGATGAGTCAAAGTGCTTAGATGAACAGTTCCAAAAGTCAAAAGTGGACGAATATAACGGGACGGAGGGAGTATTATAAGAATTCGTATGTGTAAAAATAGTTTTTAATAGATATAAGGACTTTGTGGGACAAGAAAAAAAATTATGGACAGAGGGCGTAAGTTTTGTTTTTATTTTCTAGAACAATTTCAAAATAAGTTAAATTAAAAATAAATACAATCATGCATCGTAAACCACAATGCCAAGTTAAATTTGGAATGAGCAAGCACTTTTTTTTATCATTTCACATTGTATTAAAGAAAATCTTGATCTAAAATACTTTGGTCTCCACTCTTGAATTTCTATATTGTTATTGACTATATTTGTTGAATGTGCCCCCATAAATTTTTATATTTACTATTCACAGTTTAAATTATGTCTTCTTTTTTTACTTTTATTGATTATTAATTGTATACATATATTGACATAATTTGTAAATATATACTTTTTCCATCCTTAAAAGTTCTTTCCGTTTTGAATTTTAAGAAAATTAAGGATGGTATATTTTTGTGTTAACTTTCCAAAATTATATATGTTTAATGTGATGGCTAAAAATAAGATGTGATGAATAGATTGCTAGCAAAAAGGTATGATGTGATAGATATGATAAGAATTACTCCCTCCGTCCTAAAACTTTCTTCCCGTTGCGCAAAAGGAAGAAAAATCCCAAGTTTTTTCAATCTATTTTATTTAAATATTGGTATAGAAATAAAAAATAAAACATACATATTTAAAAACTACATCAAAAATTCAACAAAACAAGTGGTGACAAGAATATTTTATTTTATCATATAGGCCATGAAAAAACACAAATAAATATAAATTCCCGTGAAGTTGGAATAATGCTCTGGGAAGAAAGTTTTAGGACGGAGGAAGTAGTAAATGTAAAAATAGTTTTTTAATAGATATAAGAAAGACTTTGTAGGACAAGAAAAAAAGGAAAGAAGAAAGAGTTTACAAGGAAATTTTATTTTTATTTTCTAGAACAGTTCAAAATAAGTTAAATTAAAAATAAATACAATCATGCATCGTAAACCACAATATCAAGTTAATTTTGGAATGCGCAAGCACTTTTTTTTTTATCATTTCACACTGCATTAAAGAAAATCTTGATCTAAAAAACTTTGGTCTCCACCCTTGAATTTCTATATTGTTATTGACTATTTTTGTTGAAGGTGCCCCTAGTAATACTAACTCCGTATTTGCTTCTGGATCCGCCACTGACAATTATGACCCCTGCTTTGCAATTTTGGAGGCTCTGGAGAGCATTTCAGCAACATAACCCTTCTTTGTTGTGTAAACGTTAGATCACCCGCAGCTCAAAAACTTGGAGCTCTGAGCTCCAAAATAGAATGTATTAGCGCCATTCTCCTCATGTGTTACCAAATTCGATTTGCACTCACTTTACTAAATAAACTATATTGCCTCACCATAAACTAACAGAGTATATTGATATGATACATACATCTAGTAGTATGCATTTAGACACAAAACTCTAAATTTCTTCACACAAACAAAGAAAGGATCTATTGTGCATTAGACCTAAGGTAAGCAGTGTATACAAATGAGATGAAATTGAGCCCTACACTACCTTAGTAAGAATCTAATTATGTATGCTCCACTAAAGCAGACATAGACAGACTGCATGAAATTCCATTATCAGAAAACTGAGCTCCTGTTTGGTTTAATTAATAATAAGCTAGATACACAACAAGCAAATGAGGCATTGGAGAGCAGGGTTGACCGAGAAAGCAATGGATAAGCTAGCGAAGAAAAGAAAACAAGTCTAAGAGCAAACTCACAAGGGTTTGTGCATATGTGGTCATGTAGCTAGAGAACTGCTTGAAGGATTCGATCTCAAATCTCAAATTCCTCACTACGGATAGCCATCTCAGCAGCCTCTTCTTCCTCGTCGTCGAGAGCAAAGTATTCGTTCTTCTCCACGGGCCTAAACATGTAAAACATGATGGCGTAGAAGGCCAGGCTGGCAATCTCTTTGGCAGCAGTTGCGACCCACTGGTACTTGTAAGCCGAAATGGTCTGTAGGGCAAACACTGCAAACCTTGTGAAGTAAAGGTACCCAATCACCACAATGTAGAACTGCCTGAAAAGGGTCAGTTTCGCCAAGGTCCTCGCTGCTTTCCCGTCTGTCTTTGAGGTCTCTCTCAGTGACCTGATCGACCACACGATGGGGAAGATGATCGCGCAGCAACAGACTACATCGACGATCAAGAACACCTGATTCCAAGTCACCCAATCTCTGATGAAGGGGCCAGTTTCCCCAATCACAACAGATGCTATGTTGGCCAGAACCTGGAGGGGGATCACAATTATCAGCACCTTCTTCTCCCTCTCCTGCAAAAATGGCTTTAGGAATGACCATCCTGTGCCAATCAAGATGATCACTGTGAAGAGCAAAACCACGCGGATGAACTGGAAAATGTAGAACAACACATCCCAGCCATGGGCAGTTCCGGTCACCTTGACGTAATGCTTATCCTCCGCCGCAAAGAGTAGATTTAGGGCTTTGGTGATGAGCAGGACCGCCATCAATAGGTGAATCCTGTGCACCGATCCCCTGTTCCGGCAGCAGATTTGCACCCATAAGGCCGCGAATCCGAAATAGATTAGCGAAAAGATGAAGTATAGGGTCGGAATTAGGGTTAGACCAGCGGAGAGGTAATCCTTGACCTGCCCTTCGTTGTCTAGGTTGTAGAGCTCGGTGCGGACGTCCATGGACACCTTTGATTCTGGAGCGCAATTCGCGAAGAACAAGGAGTATTCGTCCGGGAAGGTGATCGGATACGATCGATTGAAGGAGGAGGCGGGCGGGGGCGACAGATCGCGGAAGGTGAAGAGGAGATTTATGTACTTGGATTCGAGAACGCAGAAGGCCACGTTCTGCTGGAGCTCGATCAGGACCTGGATGAGGGATTCTTCGGAAAGGAGGAAGAATCCGAGCTGAGACGGTTCCGGCGTGGCGACGGAGGACGCGACGGAGACCGACGAGACGCTGATGGTGGCGTGGCCCATGCGGGTGAACCCGAACCGCTCGAACAGAATCATCGGCCGGGAATCGGAAATGATCTTCAGCTTCTTGATCTCGGCGGTGGAGCTGGAGATGAGCAATGCGAGGAGGAATATGAGTAAACGCGATCTCGTCATTCTGAACACGGCGGGGCAGGTATGGGCGGCGAATGGTGGTCGGGGAACGGTGGCGGGGGTGGAGAATGAAGGCTTCGTGGGAAACGGAGGCGCGGGAGAAAGGGAAATAATGTCCTAAAAATGGGATGAAACTGTCCCGCTGCCTGAGTGCCTGACCGTATCAATATGATTATGAATACTCTCTCATGTTCTCCCTTGAATTTTTACTATCTCCAAAATTACACTTTCAACGCTAATATTTTTATTTATACATGAATATATTTTATAAAAATTTAATATTAAAAAACTTTATTTCAAAATGAATATATTAATATTAAAGTTATATCCTAATAAAATATATTTTTTCACATATCATAGTCAAAGTTTGCAAACTTTGACCAAGAAAAATCACATGGGAAGAATATTTCTGGAAGGAAGAAGTATATGACAATGCTACAGATATTGTAAATATAGTTTCACAAGTATTATTCTGGTAGTAAGTAGATTGATTTTTATAAATATAATTTCATAACAATATTATTTTAATTTTATTTACAAAATTAGTTTTTATAAATGAAACATGTAAGATAAATGAGATGAATTTAAATAAAAGTACGATAAAAAAAGAAAACAAACACAATAAATTGAAATAAGAGTAGGGTTAAATATGTTATTAGTTGATACGAGTATAAAATAGACGAGTTTTGCTTTTATTCTTTGTAAATTATGTTTTATCAAAATCATTCTCACAAAAAATTTAATTTTGAAAACAGTTCTTAAACATAACTAGTATTTTTCATTAGGCGAGATATCACATTTATTTCATACTCAATATCTCATTCTTAAATTTTTTATGATGTTAGATGCAATTTTCAAGCCCTAAATTGGGTTGTTATTCATATTACATCACTAATTCCCAAATTTATTAGAAATATACGGAGTACTATAATAAAAATCTGGGAGTTGGAGATTAAATTTGATAAAGGACGCAATTTAGGACATGAAAATTATATCAGAAGTAAATAAAAATGCAAAACCAAGTTGTTGAATACAAATGTGCGATGTGAATAAAAATAAATGTGCGATGTGAAAAGGAGTATGTTCTCTTCAACTTTTTTTTATTGTATTAGTTCAAGTCAGATTAGAAAAAACTTTAATTATAACTACATTTAGATCAAACCAGATCAAAACTTATTTCAATTAGAATCATTTAGATTAGATGAAGAGATCAAATCTTAAATTTAAAGTCTTAATTATGTATAAGGACTATTTTCAAAATAAATTTTTTTATAAAGATGACTTAAACAAAAAGTATTTTAAAGAGATCAAAAACAAAACTCCGAAAATTTTTCACGGACTAAAAATATATTTTACCCATAAAACTATTACTCCGTAGTTGTCTGCTTCATATTACGTACTTATCTAAATATTTAGGATTAGAACATGTTTTTATGGTAATTTAAAATGGGATTAGAACAAGTCAAGAAATAGACTCTATAATCTACTCCCTCCGTCCACAAATAAACTTTACGTTCACTATTCACAGGGTCAAACTTTATTCACTTTGTTAGCCTATTTTTGTCACCCATTAAAAAAATATTGTAGTCATGTCACCTCTTATTTTGTAAATCTTTTGATATATTCCGGGGTAGTTTTTTAATATGTAAGTTTTATTTTTCAATTCTACACCATTTTTCATATAAAATGATTTGAAAATAACTTCAATCAAACATCGTAACACGAAACATAAAATTTATTTGTGGACGGAGAGAGTATATGATAATAATAGAAATTGAAAAATAGGACTCTTTTTATGGGAGAGGATGATTAATAACCTTAGAAAAGAGCATTTCTATTCTTTGTTTGGTTGAATGCATTCAACAAATGATCAACCAGTAGTACTGTACTCATCAGGTGTACAAATTTCAGTGGAATTTCAGTAGTACTGTACTCTCATCAAAGTATTTACAAAAAATATACTCTCTTTTTGGAATCAGCAGTTAGAGAAAGAGCCACTCCATCCTAAACAAAACCCATCAAATGGCATAGAGTTTCTTGTTGAACTCATCCTCATGACCATCTTCATCCGACATGACCGACATCGACCGCGACCGAGACAAGCTACTCCTGGATCTGCTCAGATTCCTCATGTTTGTGGACTCGATCCGGTGCACGACCACCCAGTAAAACAGTGTCCCAAACGTTGCCACCATTATAAACGATCCCATCGCCGTGACCCCGATCGCCATCCACCTCTCTTCTTCCCCAACCACAATGTAGCACAAAGCAAGGAAAGCAATGGACACGAACGCGCACGCCAACCACATTAGCTTGTTGATGATTGTCATCAACATCTTCTTCGCGCTCCTCTCCACCACCACCACCGATATCTGGACCACCACCACCGCCAGTGATATGAAGAGCGCGAGGGAGTCGAATATGAAGAAGATCACGAACGGGGGTTGTGGGGCGATTCTTGCCTCTCCCGGGGTGAGCGAGGGCAGGTCCCGCTTCGGGTCGTCCGCAAACTGCCCCGGGAGATTGTATATGGCTGCGAAAGCCACGGTCGCTATGAGGACCGCGGCCACCGTGGTGGAGTTTATTGCGTTGTTGAGCCCTTCACTGTGCATTTTGTCGATACGTTTGACTATCTTTTGCACGCGCTTTTGGGTTTGGTGCGTGTGGACAAGCTGGTCGCGGACGCCGTGCTTTATGTCGCTCACCGTTTGCTTCAGTTCCTTGGCCGAGCGTTTCGGTTGTGCCGCTACGTTAAGATCCTTTGCTCTCCGGAATGAGTGGTCGCTTAGTAAAGTTGCTATCTCAGAGTGCCCATTCTTCTCGGCTGTGTCAAGAGGCGTCTCGCCGGATCCGTTTATGGCCTCTCCATTCACTCCATTGTGCTTTAGCAGGGTCCTGACAATCTGCATTGGCATATTGTCATGTCATCAAACTTCAATCCAGAGAATTCTAAATACAAATACGGAGTAATTAATAGTACATCATAATAAAAACTAGTACTAAGATTTTGGGTTTCATTCTATAGAGAATAACCCAAGATCTTATATGTTACTTCAGGTAGCTTTTGGAGAAGTAAGGTTCAAATTTAGCCATTTAATTGTTTTCCCATAGTCATTTAGTCCCTCAAATTTAGCCCTTCAATTTTTCCTAAAATGTGTATTTTCATGACAACTTCCCTGATTTGTCCACATGTTACTGTAAAGTACTACCTAAGTCTTTCAAAGAACTTTCTGCTCTCCCAAAAGGAAGTTTTCATCCCAATTATGGAAAGAAATGAGTAGTTCATATTATTAATCTCTTTTGTATAAACTTATACCATACAATTTCACTTTTTAAAAAAAACTCCGTTAGAGAACTTCTTTTAAGGACGGAGGGAGTACGTCAATTTTGCAATTAGTGTGCTCCTTCCCTAATCGGCCCGTTACTCGCTAGAGTATATGAATCAAATTGCTCATTTGAGTTATGACCAAAAACAAGATACTCTGTAGTATATTACAAAACCATGAAGAAAATCCCACCAAAGCTACAAGTTAGGAAGGATGATGTTAAAGTACAACAAACATACCTCCACACGTCCCTTCCGAGCTGCAATATGCATTGCGGTGTTTCCCTTTCCATCAACCATTGTAGTCAGAGAAGGCTCCGCCAGAAGAAGCTCATCAACCACTACAACACTCAGCCCTTTGGCAGCCATGTGAAGAGCCGTCTGTCCCTTTCTGTCGCGACACTTCGCAATGCTGGGGTCTTTCTTCAGAAGACCTTTCACCACTTCAACGTGCCCGTTTCTTGCTGAAGAGTGCAGTGCTGTTTTCCCATTGTTTCTGGCTATGGTGGCTAGGCCACTGTTTGTCTCCAACAGAAAATTGACAACTTCGGCATGGCCCTGTGCAGCAGCAGTGTGCAATGCTGTGGTGTTTGATTGGTCAAATGTCACGGACAGTTGAGGGAATGCCTCCAGAAGAACCCTCACTATTTCTGCATTAAATCGCAGATTTTGGTGAAACTTCAAAACCAATTAGTTGATAAAAGTTCTGTTTCCAAGGGGACAGCGCCCCCCTGAGCAGGGTTCAAGGGGCAACAGCCCCTGCGGAGTCCAAGGGGCAGAGCCCGTGGCTGGGTTGAAATTTTTTTATTTTGGACAAATGGTTGTGTTAAAAATTCATTTGAATTTTAAATTTCCAATTTTACCCTTAAAGAATTTTTTCGGAAATTTGTGTGCGTTTTTCTACCATTCCGCGCGACTAGACGCGAAATTAGAAAAGACGCTACCGCATCTCAAATCCTTCCTTCCGTGTCTATAAGAATCCGGCGAATCCATGGTCGCAAAGTTAGTTCGGAAATTCATATCAATTCATACCGGTTCTTGTCACAAATTTGAGTTTTATCCGATTGGTTTTTGGATTGAACACCCAAAATAATCAATTTGAAAGTGCTACACAACTCTCAATTTGATCCACTTTATCTTCGTTATCCCCAACAAATCACCTCATTCAATTTGATAAAATCACAGCAAATCAACTCTCAATTCGATCCGCTTTATCTTCGTTATTCCCAACAAATCAACTCTCAATTTGATCCGCTTTATCTTCACCGCATTCTTAATTAGACTATTAGACATTTAAATGAGATATAGAGAACTAATTCCAAATGAATGGAGTGATTGTAGAGAATCAATTCCAAATGAATCAAATGGTACTCTGAATGTTTATTGAGAAAACAAAAAGAAATATGCTCACCGATATCTCCTCGTTTGGCAGCAACGTGAAAGGAATCGAATCCATTTCTGGATTTGAGGGCGGCAGATCGAAGAACATAGTGCTTCACCATCTCCTCAACCAGCTCCACATACCCATACTCCGCCGCAATGTAAAGCGCCGTCTCTCCGGACTGGTTTTGCCTGGACAGAAGCTCGTCCAGCTCTCCCTCACCCGCACACCGCCCGATTATCGCAACCGCCTCCCCGAGATTCCCGGCCCTCGCGGCGGAGTGGAGCTCGCTGTCCCCGTGCTTCCCCGTCAGCTGCCTCACCATCTTCTTCTTGCTAACATTCACTTTTCTGCCCGCTTCCTCCATCTCTCTCGGACCGATTCCCGCCGATTCTAGCCGGAGAATGTGCGAATCCGTTGCCCGATTTCACATCGGCGATGAATATACGAGAGTGGATACGGAGGATCCCGANCTCTCCCTCACCCGCACACCGCCCGATTATCGCAACCGCCTCCCCGAGATTCCCGGCCCTCGCGGCGGAGTGGAGCTCGCTGTCCCCGTGCTTCCCCGTCAGCTGCCTCACCATCTTCTTCTTGCTAACATTCACTTTTCTGCCCGCTTCCTCCATCTCTCTCGGACCGATTCCCGCCGATTCTAGCCGGAGAATGTGCGAATCCGTTGCCCGATTTCACATCGGCGATGAATATACGAGAGTGGATACGGAGGATCCCGAGAAATTTTATCGATTTGGGGAATCGGGGGAGGGGGAGAGGATAAACCCCTGTACTGGGAAATTGCACGATTTGGTTCAGTAGAATCTTTGCAGAAATCAATGCTTGTGGGAATGTGACGGGGACGGGGACGGGACTGGGACGGAAGAACGTGGACGTTAAGATGGCTAATCCAAATGCCTGCCACTTTGGGTTTCAGGAATCGCGCTGGCTGACGCCGTACCTTGCCCTTCGTTAGACTTCTATATTATGGATTATGGATGGAGGACCCACTCGTGTCTTTTTTATGACCTGTTGGTAACCCCCACCAACCAAACACACCCTTACCCTATTTTGGATGGAGAGAAAGAAAATTAGGAAGAAGATAGCTCATTTTAGTGATTCAATTAAAATTATTACGGAGTATTATTATTACTATTATTCCATCTGCCTACTACTAACTTTTTCTCACTTTTCTTTTTGAGTTATCCAAAAATTTCTTTCGTGTTTTGTATTTAGACAAAAAATTTGTAATGAATGTGTCTTTATATTTCTACTTTTTATCTATACTATTCACTTTATTCCATCACATCAAGAACAAAAATGGAAAATCTGTATACTTTTTATTTTTTCTTCATCTTTGTTCCATGTCAAACCGGAAAAAAGATTTTTAGATAGAGGGAGTATTATTATTATTATTATTGCAACTTATAATTGTTATCAACTTGTACGAAGAAGAGATGGATGGAGTCATAGAGGAACATATCTAGTCATGAAAAAAGAATAATACTCACCCTCACTTATTATTGTTATTGCAACTTTTATTATTGTTTGCAACCTATCATTTGATAATCTTTTCACACAGAGACGGCCCTAGAGATAGGCATATGGCCTAGGGCCCATTTCACAATGGGGTCCATAATTATTTTTTCTCTAATAGTATTAGTAACATATTATTGTAAAAAGTAATCAAGTTAGGGTTTTAAACTTTCAATTTTTAAGTAAGTATATGTAGTACAACAATAATATGTCACACTCAATCATTTCAATTTATCAAGTGATATTGCTCTTCTTAAAAATAATTCTAGAAGCCAATTTTTTTAATTGGCCTAAGGCCCATAAAATGTCAAAGCCGGCCCTGTTTTCACATTTGTCAATGTTGAATCGAAGGTAATGCTCATGACATAACCGTGTGGAGCCATAACCTGTCTGAACTAAAATTTCGATTTGTGACAACTATAATTTGAAGGTAGTGCTTGTGACATCTATACACATAAATTTCTAATTATTTGTTTTAAATTTAGAATAAAATGTAATATTTTGTAGCATAAAACATTTATATTCATATCTTGAAGTATAAATTTATTATGTAAGATGTAGAAAATGTACTCCCTCCGTCCACAATACATTTTTTGTTTTGATTTTTAAGAGATTTAAGATGAGTATATTTTGGTGTTGACTTTCCAAAAATGCCTTAAGATGTAATCGTAAAAGTAGATGTCATTGGTAGATTAGTAGTGAAAAGTGTGATGATGTGATAAGTAGGTTAATAATTAGTACGGATAAAAGTGACTTTTTAATAAAAATTAAAAAAAAATTGGGATGAATGAAAAAAGAAAGGAGAAAGGCTTTGTAAGACGGGAGTAATATTTTGTAGCATAACATTCATATATTCTAATAATTATATATTTCAAATATTACAAAATAAATGATTAATTTTTTGAATGATTGATTATTATCAATGATTTATTATTTTAATGTATATTTGAATTGATTATTTTATATAAGTCTAATAATACTAAAATAAAAAAATATTGAATGTATTATAATACGAATGATCACTATAATCTTTAAAAGTTTTTAGGACTTGGTAATAATTTCAAGTTTAATTTAAATCAAATTTAGATCAGATTAGATCCAATTAGATCATACTAGATGAGATAAGAACTTCAAAAGAACAAATCAAAATAATAGCTCTTCACTTCAATATGCTCTCACTAGTAAATAATATGTTCTAGTACAATTGATTGTACTTATCTCTGGAGATAATTGAGTGTGGATTGAAAAAGTGGAGAAGGCGATGGCGGCGACAACAGAGAGTGACAACAAAAACTTTAGGTCGGTGATGGGAGCAGCGCAAAAGATGTCAACGACATTGCTATAGCAGATCAGTGAAAGCGACGATAACAAAACCGTATATATGTTGGATGTACGACGAATGCGATAGCGGCGATACAAATTGTTGAAGTCCTTCGACTTGGATCAAAATTCTAGGTATGACGACGACGATGATCACGATGATACATGTCACAAAGATGAGTATAGCATCTGGTTCCGTTTCTATGCGTCGGCGCGATGGTCTCTTTTATCGTGACAGTGAATGAAAATTATTTTACTCAAAAATGAATATTTCGTATAATTTTAGCGAGCATTATAATGTTTTCAAATGTGCATATATTTTTAAATATGTAAAAATGAGATTTCTAATTCTCAAAAATAAACATTTGCTGAATATATAATTACAATAAAAAAATGTAAATTAAATACTTTGTTACTTTAAAATGAATACTAGTGGGTTGTAACATGTAGCTAAGAGCATCTCCAACCATAGCATTTTATAGCTTGCTAAAAGTTACTCCCTCTGTCCCCTTGTATTTGTCCACTTTCATTTTTATACACCATCCAATGCACTTCTTTAATATATTTTATCTTGTAATTTGTATATTAAAAAATTATAAAAAATATATATTAATAAAATATGTTAAGACAAATCAAACAAGATCACACATGACTATATTTAGGCTTACACATTGAGAGAATTTGGTGAGTCAAAGTGCTTAGATGAACAGTTTCAAAAGTCAAATGTGGACAAATACAGGGGGACGAAGGGAGTATAATATAGTTAGCTAAATCCTTTTGTTCTTCTTCATAGGGTATGCTTTATTTTAGCAAGTTTGGCAAAAAATAAAATAGCAAACTTTATTCACTTTGTTGACTTATTTTCGTCACCCATTTGATAAAATAATATAGTCATGTCATCTCTAGATTTGTAGATTTTTTGATATAGTTTTTTAATATGTAATTATTATTTTTTAATTTTATACCATTTTTCATATAAAATGAGTTAGAAAATAAATTCAAAGTTTTTTTTGTAGACAGTGATGTAAATTTGGCTGCTGTTATGCTAGATACCCGCGGAGTACCCGTGGTAAAAAAGTAAAAGCATCGCCATCTCCTTCATCGACTATTTCTCATTTTCTCTGGCGACTAAGTATCTTCGCTTCCGATTCACAAGATGATGATGATGCCAGACATTCGTCTACATATTTTTCTCTAAATTCAGGAAATTCGGTGTCGCTTCGCTGACCTTTTCCAGTTTTCATCTCATTCATTTTCAACCAGGATCATCGCTGCGAAAGTCTCTCCACCGGTGGTCGGCTCACTTTTCTGTAAAGCAAATTAGATCAGTTCATTTTTTTTTGTTTTTAAATAAAAATCTCAGCTCTCATCATTTAATGGGAGGCTTCAGGCTTGTGTATACTTTTGTATTAGAAAGTCATTTTGGAGAACACTATATTTTGTGGTCCATCGGTATTGCTGGAGTTTTTGATTTCAGTGGGAACATTTGTCATGGATTTTTGCTATCAGTGCTGAGTTTTTTCTTTTTTTTTTTAAATTTAAAAATCTGAGCTGATGATTACTTGGATCAAGTTGTGCTTCTCTTGCTGGAAGCTCAATGTATTTGTTTTTCCTTTTGCAATGGTTATCTGATGATCTAGGTTGACTCATGAAAATCTATGTTGCACTGATTCTGTGCCGTTTCCCGTCCTAGAAATGTCCTTGCTTTGGGTACTTGGGAACGTCCCAAGGTCCCTACTTCCAAATACTTTCTAAGATTTGGAAGCTTTGTAAAATTTGGAAAGTTGGTGTTTCCCGTCCCCTTGCAACATATATTAGAATTATATTCTTTTACTTTCACTATGAGTTTATAACAATAATAATAATAAGAACAATGATAATGACAATCGCACCAACTTTAGTAACGAATTGTCTCTTTGTTACTTTGTATGTTTGTATGCTTTTGTTCCGTTTTCTAAATTCTAATTGGGTTTGGTGCTATTCCATCTGGTAAAATTGTAGACTGGAATTTCAAATTTGGATCGGATAAGCTTCAGTTCTTGCTCTGGGTGGACTGTTTAGTAATGGAGAGTTTAGCACAATTAGAGACATTGTGCGAGAGGCTGTACACTTCCCAGGACTCGTCTGAACGAGCGCATGTTGAGAATACTCTTAAATGCTTTTCTGAGAATATAGATTACATTTCACAATGCCAGTTTATTCTGGACAATGCATCGTCTCCTTATACATTGATGCTGGCTAGTTCAAGCCTCTTGAAGCAAGTCAATGAAAATAATCTCTCGTTGCAGTTCCGCCTTGACCTCTGTAATATTTTGTTTTTTCTGTTGTGTGTTTTTTCCTCTGATAAGAACCACTCATGCTTTCCTTTCCAGGATTAAAATACTATTAGACTATATGTATATGATACTAGTTACATAGTACAAAGTATTTCCATATATTTTTTCTTGCATGATCAGAAGCATGAATCCTTGAATTAATAAGTTTCAAACTGTTGCATTGACAGTCTATCCAATTTCTTTGTTTTTGATTCTAATACAATTCAGTCTATCACTAACCCTTTTTGTTCTGCTTAAATTTCTGTTTCTTTGTTTTCTATAAAGGGAACTATCTCATAAACTATCTGGCAAACAAAGGCCCTGAATTGCAGCCTTTTGTGATTGGATCTCTCATTCAACTCTTATGCCGAATTACCAAGCTTGGGTGGTTTGGTAAAGATAGATTTAGAGAACTTGTTACTGAATCAATTAAGTTTATGACCCAGGTAATTTTTGGTTTTTTCATGTCATCGATGGCTCTTAGCCTCTCAAGAAGATAAAAATAAAGTCATTTTTTCCAAAATAGTTGAACACCATGTACATTTTGAAATCTTATCCACCTCTTCACAATAGCATAGGTGTATGGCTCATGAAGCATATACCTCAAGGCATAGCCTTCACCCTGTTGAGGAATAATGTCTTACTGATAGGGAGAAGTGGAAGCCCCGAGTCAAAATTCTAGGACTTTTCCTTGAGGTTAACCTCAAATCTTCCATAGCTTTTTAAAAATTGTATTCAGCCTCAATTTTCAAACAATGTGCTTAATGTACATGCATTAAGAAACAATTGCTAATTAATGGCGTCGTAAAAGGTGATTTTCTAGACAAAAAAAATGGTGATGGTTTGGTGGAAGAACACTTGGCCAACATAACAGTTTCACTTCAAGGGATGTAAACTCAACATCACTTGCTGTCGGACCCAATACCTTTATTCAATATGACCTAGGTCTCAATAATTTTTTTGAAATTGTACTTGCCTTGAGATTTTGAAGTTTGAACCCATTAAGGAATGCCAAGTGTTCAAAAATCATTTGTTTTAAAGGTGTTTTCCTAGGCAAACTCATTAATGGTGGAAGGCAACTTGGCCAACATAAAGATTTTACCTCAAGTGATGTAAATTCATCATGTTGGACCCAGCACATTTATTCAATATGTCTTAGGTCTCGCGAGTATAAGGGAGTGAGGGAGAGTAAACCAAACCACTAATTGAAGTTGACTCAAACCTTGGTTAGAAAAACTTATTAATGCCGAAAACTGATCTGCATAAAGCAGCATTCTTATCTTGACTAGGACTGTAATTTTGGCCAAGACTCTCTAAAGTCCAAATGAGCAGGTGTTGTGCATGCTTCAAGAATTGGTTGCCTTTTGGATTTTAACCATTCTTGGATCTTTTGTCTTTAAAATATTTCCCCAGTAAGATGTTAGGATTAGTAGTTAAAAGTAATTATTAGGTGGATTTGAGCTCAAATTGACTAGTTCTCTCCATATTAGCTGGGAATGCTTCTCCCTATCTTGGCCTTTGGGAATGTACCAAATGTTTGATACACAGAATTTACCATTAAATTTCATGAAGACTACTTCTAGTGCATCTACTGATGTACTTTATATGTGTGTTAAATTTTTTTCTTGTCCTGAGTGAAGTTGTCATATGGACATTTACATAGATTCCTCCCATGTTGTTTCTATTCTACAGGCAACATCCGATCATTATGCTATTGGCCTAAAGATCTTGAATCAGCTTGTTTGTGAGATGAATCAGGTTCAGCTTTGCAGTTCGTTTAGTATAGTGTTTTAAAATCATGGGAAGATTTTAAAGGGACAAATATTGGAAAATATTTTCCAATTTATTGAAATAAGTTTTTATTTGGACATTAATGTTGCAATGTGCTAATGTTATTTTTGTGTTTCCGTGATTCATATATATGTTTAAATGCATAGATACATGTTTTTCTTATTGTATGATTTGAATATGATGCACGTGCTCACACTCACATATGAAAGAGGATTCAATAGGTACCACTCCATGGATGAATATTCTATTTGTAAAAGCAAGTTTAACGTGTGTGGATTTTTCGAAAGCAAATTTATTAAAGCAAACATAAACAAATATATCCTTTAAGTCCAGCTCAAAAGTTTGGTAGGTGAGATGTCCACATGTCTTGCTGTTACCCAAGGAGTACATATGAGAATTATAAAGTATTGAAAGAAGTTAAAAATCTGGAAAAGAAGGTAGTGCATTTTACAAAGTTCGATTTTAATTACAAAATTTCCTGCACATTTTCCCTTAATTTTCAAATTTTTATGGCCCTCAAATCTCACATTCTAAAGCACCATATGCATTCTTATTTCTTTCCTAAGATCTCATTTTCACCAGAACTAAAATCTATGTTTTATATACATATGTATATATATAAAATCACGGTGGTATTTTTGAAATATCGTCACCTTTTGGAATGAGTGACTCTTATTACCTCATCTAACGTGATTCCATTGTAATGCCATTTTGTGTGTACACATACACATACTTGTATGTATATTGGTTCAAGTGAGAATGATGCACAATGATAGAAATGAGAATGCATATGATCTATTGGATTTAGGATCTAAGGACTATTATAAAATAAAAATATGGGAAATTGTGGTGACATTTTAGTAAATGAATTGAACTCCGTTGCCATTGCAAAAATGCATAATTGCTAGTGCGAATGTGTATCATGAAACAACAACAACAACCCAGTTAAATCCCACAAGAGTAGGGTCTGGATGTGTATCATGATGGACCAAAAAAAAACTCTTCGTATTTCTCTCAATAAGGATCATTCTCACCTAAATTACACTATACATGCATTACACACACACACATAGGAAAAGATTACACGCACACATTAGTGCTAGCAAATAGGTTTGATTCAGATTCGGTTCATTTGGGTTTCAATAAGTTTAGGATCGGGTTGGGAACTTAATGTTCATGACCCAGTGTCATCGAATTCAGTTCGACCAATCATGTTATGAGCATTTGTTTTTAGAATACTTAAATTCGTATTAGCAGTTGCATTTTGCACTATTTAAATTATGGAAATATTGAAATATATAATAAAGCTCTTATAATATTTCATTTGAATTCTAAAGTAATTTTTTAGGTTGCGTGTTGGGTAAAAATTAGGCCGTCTCAATTTTTGCTAGATCTAATTGAGACACACATGTACTCTCTCTATTCCAAAAAGATATAAACTTTGACATCACGAAATTTAGGAAAAGTGTTCAAAAGTAAAAAGTGTATTGCTGAAATTTGTGTAGAAGAAAGAGAACTTATTAAATTTATTTGACCATGTGGGTCTGAAGGCTTTCTTTGAAGACAATTCTACATAATACATTTTCTTTTAAATGTTTTCTTCAACTATAAACCACATTAAAAGTGCATATTGCCTACATTTTGGGATGGTACTGGGAGTTATAATTAATTTTGTTATGCATGGCACACGAAAATGCTGCATTTTTTTTATCTATTTCTTTAACTGAAAACTGTATTTATAATGATTGCCCCATGCATTGACTTGTGGGGGAGTAATATTTAACTTTGTTCCGATCTGTTCTGTAATTTCTTAGTAGTGTTCAATCCCATATATGCCAATGATATTGTCTTGTATTGACTTCATTTCGTATGAAGTATGAACTTATATTTTCTTGTGCCTATCTATGTTACTATCGTCTCTTTCAGCAAAATCAAGGGGTAACTTCAACCCATCATCATAGGGTGGCCGGCTCCTTCCGGGATCAGTCTCTGTTACAAGTTTTTCGGATATCTTTAACTTCATTGCACCAGCTAAAAAATGATGGTAGTTTGATGATATTTTTATCATTTTTCATTTTCTTGATTCTCTGTGATCCACACCTGATGGTTGCAAGTTCAAACTGCAGCCATCAGCCGATTGCAGGAATTGGCACTATCTCTTTCACTGAAGTGTTTAGCTTATGATTTTATTGGAACATCTATTGATGAAAGTTCTGACGAGTTTGGGTGTCTCCAGGTACAAGTTAGTTTTCTAGGGTTGAATGATTTTGTTCATAATCAGGATAGTTATTGAATTATTACTTTGCACTCATTATCATATGGCTGTCAATGTTATTTCACAGGTTTCATCTTCATGGAAATCAGTTTTAGAGGAACCTTCAACTCTGCAGATCTTTTTCGATTACTATGCTCTTGCAAAGGCATCTGTTTCCAAGGAGGTACATGTTTGGTTGATATTATTAATGCTGTTCATTCAAGTTCTAGAGCTTCCTCACAAGCTCTGGAAGCTGCATATGCAAGTATCCATTAAAAACAGTTCACTGCTTGCACATATATGTTTCGTATGCTTCTACATGCATGTAGTTGAGCCCTTAAGCTGGATGGACTTCTGTTTTTTCATAAAAATGAGGATATCATTGATTTAATTGAATTCAATTGGATCTCATTTTCATTTACTGTGTTCTTCCTTTGCTAGTGTGTTGGTCCATTTTTTTATTAGCTCGTGCATTGGTGCTTTCTGTGGCTGTCCTTGCTAGCTACACTTTTGTCCTTTTATAAAACAAAATCCCTCTGAAAGCAGTACATGCATCTACTTTTTGCATTTGGTTTAAACTAATTGCTGGGATTTTTGAAGATCAGTATTAGACTAAATTTATTTTGTTTCTCTCTGTTAAGAGAAGCCTTCAAAAGGAATTCATCAGGCTTTTTTTGTTCCTAGTTCCACCCATATTGACAACTTTCTCTTCTATGTTCTTTTTGAGGGCATAAGCTCCACTGAGAGTACTACAACCATCAACCACAGATATAGTGATTTTCTTTGCCGATTTTTTCTGTCAGAGAAAAGATTGATTACCTTGTTCTGGCTACGATTTGAGTAATCTGGATCTCGACTCCTGAGTGTTGTATAGCTTTCTGCTGACTATTTTGTTGTCTCCTTGAATTTTTATTTTTATCATTCCCAGGCATTGGAGTGTTTGGTGCGCCTGGCTTCTGTAAGACGCTCTGTTTTCACAAATGATGCGGCACGCACAAATTTTTTGGCTCATCTCATGACAGGATCCAAAGAGATTTTACGAACTGGCCTAGGTATATGCTGTGCCTTTTGTTCATTTTCATTTCCTGACTCCCAGTGCCTTCAATTGGTGCATGTAATTCCATCTTTCCAATGGTATAGTGTCATCTTTCAATTGTTTAAAGTTATATGGTTTTGGCTCATCTCCTTTATTCTTTATCTATTTAAATGCTTGCTTCATCTTGAATTGTAATTCAGGTCTAAGTGATCACAAGAATTACCATGAATTTTGTCGTCTTCTTGGACGCTTCCGAATAAGCTATCAGGTAGTCCCATCTCTGCTGTGATCTCTTTATCTTGAGGCTGGGGGTCTCTTGGAAACAGCCTCTCTACTTTCGAGTAGGGGAAGGTTTTGTGTACACACACCCTCCTTAGATGCTACCCTCTCGTGGGATCCAAGTATCCAACTGGGTTGTTATAGTGCCATCATTTTTCTATTTTTTTGTTCTTGTCTCTTGAGCATGTAGTGTCAATGCTATTGGATTTGCCTGTGCTTTTGGGGGATTGTTTGTACCATATCATCACGTGCTTCATCCATGAAATCTGGATAGTTTGTACCAAAATATGTTTTAATAAACGTGTATGTTGAGTGATAGATATGCGTTGTGTTTGAGGTAGGCCAGCAATGGAGGAGTGTTGTGTTGTACTTCGTCCATGAATCTTCATAATAATAATAATACTACTACTACTCATTATTATAATAATAATAATACTAATAATAATAATAATAAAAGTAATAGTAATAATAACAATGATGATAATGAATAGCCTAAGACTGCATAATTATCATTAGCGCTCCAAGAAAATCAATACTTTACAACAATACTTAAATAGAATTTTTAGTTTACATCGATCCCCCAATTTTTTAGGCGTATCTATGATCAATATGTAATATTGAAGCATTATTTTATAAATATTGAATATCTAGGACCGCTAGTGAATGCATCACTGGTCTAACGAAAGTAACCTCTGGGGTGTAACTTGTAAGGTTGTGTACATCTTGAAACTCCTGACCCCAATAGAGTTGAGGATGTTTCTGCTGTTGTATTGATTAATAGTATGATACTCTTGGTCCAAACAGTTAGTTTGGGTACCGAGGCTGTTTGTTCAAGAGAGGCAAGTCATAAGTAATTATACTCCATTATTCTGAACATTTTTTTCCATAGGATTTGTACTTTAACACTATTTTCAAGCTTGGCCATTTCCTTCTCTTGTAACTTGTTTAGAAACACCTGCACCTTCTTTACGACTAGAGGTAGCACCTTGACAACTTCTCATTACACTTTTCAACATGTAAATTGTACGGAATAATATATATACACAAAAGTATTTTAAGTAATCTCAAATTCAGAATACATCAAAGAGAAACATACAAGAAGTTGAAAAAACAGGAAACAAATAGAAGTGAGTGAGGAGGTGGAGGAGGAAGAGTAGGAAGAGAGAAGATTAATAACAAGTGCAAGTAGCATCAGAGAAAAAAATGGAAATGCATGATGTAGTGATGGTGATTGCTGAATTTTGAAGTTGGGGGAGCGGCAGAGGAGAGAAAAGAATAGACTCATGTGGTTGCTTGTCTATCATGGACTGACTTTAGTATATGGAGTTCATTACTTAGAGTCTCACAGTCCAAAAAAATCCAGCCTCACAAAAAGTTTTGAGGCAAGCCTCAAAGCATAAGATTTTTTCTTTGAGGTGTACCTTTTATTATGCAAACCAGGCTTAACTCTTGATTTCCATTCAGAGCGCCTCACATTGAGGTGTAAGCCTAAAAAATGAAGTTTATTTGGGACAGAGGGAGTAAGTTTCTCATTAAATCTGTGCACGTAGTAATAGTCAACTAGTTCCATAGATAATAATTAAAAGCAATACTCTAACATTAGAGTCTCCGTGAATATTTAATGTACAACAGAAAAATTTGAACCTATTAAGGGAAATCAGAATTAGTGCTTTCCATAAGCAGAGATCCAGTCGTTTGTGTTTGCCTAGTGTCTAGTGCTTTTTAGCTGCTGGCAAAGTCACTTTTTTGCAAGAGTTTCATGCACTATAGTTGTGTAGATGTCAATTCTACAAGAGGTATTTGCTGATGTTAGGACATGCTTCTATTTCAGCTACACATAAAAACCCAGAACTGTCTTCTTTTATGCCCAAACTAGCTTTTAATAGTGAATGATTCTGAAGAAACTTATTATATTTTCTTCTGCAGCTATTATGGCTATGAAGAAGTTGTGTACCTTTCATATTTTTGGTTAGGCTGCTGTATGGACGTAAATCCTAATTGTCAATTTATTCAAGTACTTTTTGAGGGGCACCACCTGGACATTTAATTTGGCAGATATATATTATTTTCCTCCTGCACATTCTTTCTGTTTGCAGCTATCGGAGCTAGTCAATGTGGAAGGATATGGTGAATGGATACACTTTGTGGCTGAATTCACATTCAAGTCGTTACACTCTTGGCAGGTGATTTATCCTTTTGATGCTTTTCTATATGATTGAATATAACCTAATAATTTATTAATTATTACTAAGTATAAAGTTAATTTGTATGCGCGTGTGTATCATGATAGCATTCGCAAATGGAGATCACCATCTTTGAAGCATAACCTTTCAAGTTTCATGTCTCCTTCAATTTATACTCTCGTTTTTTTCCAAATAAATTTTGTTTTTGGTTCAAAAAAACTTATCTTTCAACCGCGTATTAAACACACTGATTTTTTTGAAACATTATGAATGATATTATGATGCTAGTGGGTGGCGTTAGTAGGCTGCAACAAGCTAGTTAGCGGAATCATTATAAGAGAAACTACTACTTGAATAAAGTATAAGGCATGATAAGATAACACCAATACAAATGCCTAAAAAGTCAAAAAGTAGGATATCATGCACATTCCAACTGTCCAACATTGGCACTTCAAAGAACCTGTATTCATTTGAACACCCATTGAGTACCATTGATGCCCTTTTGGTATGAGATGAATATGTGTATTGCTGTTTGGAGGTGGGGCTATGGGCATGAGATGAGAACACATAAAAAACAAAAGGAAGAACAGAAACAAGAAAAGAAGTTCATTATCAGCACCTTAGTCCCGACTACTCCGGGGTTGGTGGGGCATTAAATTTGTAGTGCCAATTTATTGTACTCCCTGTCCTATAAAAAGGTTCTACATTTCCTTTTTCATCAGTCCTAGAAAATGGTCCTGCTTTCCACTTTTAGAAAAGTTTTCGTGGCCCACATACTTTTTCTCCTCTACACCACTTTCAACCACACAACTTCACTTTTCTTAATCTCCGTGCCAAGTCAAATGTTGAACCTTTTTATGTGACAAAGGGAGTATGATACTCCGTGTATTAATGCTATAAAGTTCATGCAAAAAGCACAGTAGCAACCTGATGCTCTTCTTCAAAAGAAAGAATCTTGAGATAAAAATACCAAAAATGTTTCATAGCAGGTCATTCTCCTATGCATAGAAAATATTAAGAGATGGCAATGTGTTGAGTTGTTTGCTATTGTCATGTCCATTACATGATCGATATTGCAATATTAACATGAAAATCATGAAATGCCCTTCCTAAGTAATTGGCTGGAAAATGTCTTGCATCTTTTTGTTATCAATGCCAGCATTCATGAAGAATCATTGCATTAACTTCCATGATAAAAATGAAGACTCTTTCATCTACACAACTTTCCTTTTTTTCACTACAGTTTGACCTCTTGCCCCTTTTTGATAGTCTCAAGAGGGAATGGATTTCTTTTTAGGTCTTGACATGGTATCCTATTGTATTCACGTGCAGTGGTCTAGCAGCAGTGTCTATTACCTTTTGGGTATGTGGTCTAAATTGGCAGTTTCAGCACCATACCTGAAGGGAAATGCACCAAGCTTGCTTGATGAATTTGTTCCAAAAATTGTTGAAGGATTTATTACTTCAAGATTTGATTCTGTGGAGGTATTATTTTCAGAATATGCATCTAGATCATTTTGTTTTTTTTCTTTGAATGGTTCTCTCAGCAGATATTGTCTATAGATTATTTTAACACAGTATACTTCCCAATTGCAGGCTGCTCTTCCTGATGGTCCTTCAGAAAACCTGTTGGAGAACACTGAGCTTCTTCATGACCAACTTGATTGCTTTCCACAACTTTGTAGATTTCAGGTCTGTATGATGCATATCACGATTGAAGGTCATACTGCTCTTCTTTGAGTTTTCAGTTTTTTGCAGTGACTGATTTTCATGTCGTGCAATCTTCTGATTCCAGTATGAAAGATGCAGCCTATTTATAATAAATATTGTGGAGCCCATACTGCAGGCGTACTCGGTATGTTTGTTCTTATATTCCACACAGCCCAGTCTTTTTAAATGTGTATATTTTCTTGAGTTGGCTCTGACTCTTCTTTGCCTCATGCCCTCATTAGGAAAGATCTCGACTTCAGACCGGCTGCAGTAACATTGAGCTGTCCGTTACTGAAGACAAACTTGCTTGGGCTGTTAATATTATTGCTGCTATTGTGAAGATAAGACAGTGCACCAGTTGCAGGTAAAAGGATTAAAATTCCCGCCCCCTCTTCTTTCTCTTCTTGGTTTGTTGTTTTTGCTGACTAGAGAATATCTTCTTCATTATAAAAAGTGGGTCATATCATCTGGGATTATATACAATCCACACTGCTTTAGCTTTAAATATTTCTATTGCGTGTCTATGCAGTGCCGCTGTCCAAGAAGTAATTGATGCAGAACTCTCAGCCCGTGTTTTACGTCTAGTGAATGTGACAGATAGTGGGTTACATAGTCAGGTATGCAGCTCAAAAAGATGTTTGCACTTTATTTGCTCGTATTTAAGATGGTGAAATAAGCTTGGTTAGTCTTTATTGATTTGTATGTTCTTGATCTAGCAGCCATGTGGGATTGGTACACCTGGCAAAACTAACCCGGGCCCGATAACCGGAACCGAATCCGAAATGACCCGAAAACTAAAGAATCGAATTAAACCCGAACACCCTAAATGATTAGAACCGAACCGAAACCGAACCAAATGTATTCAAATCCGATTCAGATCCAGATCCGATTGAACCCGAACCAGTTAGACCTGAAACGATTAAAACCGGAACTGATTGGACCCAAAACCGATTAGACCCTAAAACCAATTAGACGCGATATTGATCAAGTTCAAAACAAATTACACTCAAATCCATACAAACCTAATAGCTCATTGGTTGACGTCTATCTACGAAAAACATATTTGAATTATGGGAACAACTGATTTAATGTACAAATCTTTTACTTTGTATTTTATCATTTAAACTAAGGTTTTTGTCTATTTTTATAGAGAGTTTATATAATTAATAGTTACATCGTAACACATGAATATACTAGCTAATTATTGATGACACTTGTATATATACTCCCTTTACACATAGAGAGGAGAGACTACCCATAAGGCTAAGTGACCTGGCAAAACGGTCGGTCAGGTCGGGTTCGGTATTATCGGGTTCGGGTCACTTCGGGTTCGGGTCTAAGAATGCTTGTTCATGACCCAAAGCTATCGGGTTCGGGTTGACCCAACGAGTTAAGAGACGTATTTAGAAATTGAAAATTTTCTATTTCGAGATGAAGTGATCAATGCATTTTTTCAAAACAGAGAAAAAAATCATTCAAAACAACAACAAAAAGTAAACATAGCAAAAAAATCTAAACATCATCATGTCCGAAATGAACCATCCAAGCACACTAATCAAAATACCAAATAATTTAGAGTTCAAACAAAATGATTAGAAGTTCCTTCTCAAGTGAAGTCATCCCCCATCTCAATTTGATGATTATCACGACTAGAACGCCTGAAATCCAACTCAATGCCTTCTTCAAGTTTGTCACGTTCATCTACATATTAATACAATAACACATATATGAAGATTTGATTGTAAGTGTAAAATAAATTGAGGCTTATATATATATTAAATTACCTTCATCAACATCATAGCCAAATATCCAACTACGGGTGGTAATCAAAGCTTCTGCATTCTCTGGCTTAAGTGATGCTCTCCACTTTGTTAAAATTCTACCACCTAAACTGAAAGCAGATTCAGATGCAACTGTGGTGATTGGTATGCTTAATATATCTTTTGCCATTTTTGCAACATCAGGAAATCTTTTAGCGTTGTCCTTCCACCATTCAAGAACATCTAAATTTTCATTAGGATCCACCTTGAGTTCTTCCAAATACACATCCAATTGGGATTTAAACCTAGTTGTCACTCCATCAAATGCTAAAAAAGCCTACATACAAATTTCAAAAGAGAAATGAACACCAAAAACTAAAACATTGTGAATATATATATATATATATATATATATATATATATATATATATATATATATATAATCTTAAGTTTAAAATTAGTTGTACCATTCTTAGAATTCGCAAAAGTTGGTCCTCCCTTACAATGCTTGCAAAGAGCTCTATCTTGACCATCTGGAAATTGATCTCCATCAAACACATTATACTCGTCCCAAATTGGTGAAGCCCATTTTCTTTTCCGACTTTGAGAAGACTCTTCAGTTTGAGTGGTAGTTCCTGTATGATAAAATAAAAAATGAAACTCCTAAAATTTATAATGTATAGACTTTAAATTTTGGGGATCAAATCCCCTCACAAGAAAATTGAGCTTCTTTCACTGAACTATCCACTATGCTCAATACTCAATGCTTGCATTTTGTAATACACTTTTAAACTATTATATTTTTATAAAATTCCATATATACATCAATAATGATATGAATGATGAATAAACTGTATTAAAACATCAAAAGTTGGGGAAGAATCAAAGCAAACCGAGAGAGCAAAATCCTTATCTTGAGTTCTAGACATATGCAGAATTGCAGATTATTATACTTTAAAAAAAAATCTTATTTTGACTATTAGCATTTAGCAGGCAAACAAATTCGAGTACATATGGCTAATGAGGAATGGCTTATATAGTTATATGCTACTCCAGGAGAAAAATAATATTACGTAAATGGAAAACACAGATTAAACAATACTCCCATTACTTCGTAAATAGAAAAAAGTCAAAAAACTGATTTTAGATTTTAAATTTTAGGAGAGAGTTAAACATGAGTTACCTATAGACCCAACTGAAGATGATGAATTAGGATTAGGAATTCCACTATTGTGTTTGCTTCTTCTTACCATTGAGCCGGCGCCAGCGGACGATGGAGGATGATTGACGGAAGACGGCAATGATCGGCGGCGGAGAAAAGTCGAGATGGAGAGTCGGCCGATGGAGAGAGGGTACAATTAGGTTTAACGGGTTTGAGTACGGTATTCCGGGCTGTATTTGTCTATTTGATATATGAGTAGGGGTGTATACGAATCGAATCAAAGCAAATATATCACTATTCGATTCGTATTCGATTAAAGTGATATGTATTCGAATTCAGATTCGTATATAATTCGAATTTTAAAAAACATTCGTATTCGATTCGATAGATATTTGACATATTTGAATTCGTATTCGAATATTCGAATTTGAAAATATTAGTAATTTTTTTCTTAAAATAGATTTCTTAAAGACATTAAATTATTATTTTATAATAATGTAAAATGTAGTAAAAATATGTTAGAATATATATAAATTTATTTATAAATTATAATATTCAAATTTATATAAATTTATATGTACACAAAAATTTAATATATTGAAATATGTTAAAATATGTACACAAATATTTAATATATTAGAATATATATAAATTTATTTATAAATTATAATATTTGAATAATTCGAATAATAAACGAATCAAATCTATTAATATTTGTATTCGAATTCGAATATAATTCGAATCTAAAATATGATTTGTATTCGGATTCGAATTCGAATATAGAGAATACGAATCATCCTTTTCGAATACAAATCACGAATCGAATACATTTTATTTGATTTGTATGCACCCCTATATGAGTAATAAATAAAAATATAAAATCTTAGTTTCTAAGTTTAGAGTGCTTAACCCGTTGGGTCAGACCCGACCCGACCCAAAATTTTAACGGGTCCTCGGGTTCGGGTCACAAAATTCATGTTCAAAACCCGCTAATTTCAGGTCGGGTTTTGGGTAAAAAACGGGTCGGGTCATATTTTGCCAAGTCTAAGGCTAACATTAGAAACTCTAATACCAAGGGATCTCATCTGAAATTGGTATAATCCCAAATCGATATAAATCCGAACCGGTATAAACCCGAATCGATATAAACCCAAATCGGAACCAGAAAAAAATCAAACCGAATTTAACCCGAAACCAAACAGACCCGAACCGATTATAACATATATCTGAAAGAGACCCGAACCAAAAAGCTCCGAACCGGAACCGAACCGATTGACCTGATTGCATGGTCTAGGAATTGGCCTCATTATTAGGAGATTTTAAGTGCTCATTTTTCTGATTTTGTGCTTTATTGTAACTGAATGTTTAAGACTCGGCATTACTTCACAGTTCCCAACTTTGTAACCTGTGAAAACTAAAACAGTACTGACTAGTGACACAGTTTTGGTTACATTTCTGGTGCTGATACGAATGTAATGGAAAAATCATGTTTGTGATGTTTTTCTAACTGGGGAGTGCACAAATGCCAGTTTTTTTGCATGCTGTTTATTTGTTTTCGATGATTCATTTAGTTTCAGACACATTTTGTTCCTTATCCTCTATTCTTCAGTTTCCATGCTATATTTTTGTTCACAATATACCGAGCTTCTAACCACGTCCCTTTAAAAATTGTCCTTTTTCCTTATCTTTTTACTTGTGCCTGCGATAAGCTAACAAGTGGTCTGCAGAGATATGGTGAAGCAAGCAAGCAAAGGCTTGATAAGGCAATTCTCATCTTTTTTGAGAACTTCAGAAAGTCTTATGTGGGTGATCAGGCTATACATTCTTCAAAGGTAATCAGCATTTTCACAATACATCTATAACTCTATAAGCATCAGATCAGATATTTGGATGGATATGCACTTCAATGCAGTCTGTTTCTGCTGCAGCAGTTGTATGCCCGATTGGCTGAACTTCTTGGACTGCATGATCATCTTTTGTTATTAGATTTCTGTATCCAAAAAGTTGCAACGAACCTCAGGTGTTATACTGAGGTGATTCTTTTTACCTCTTATGTTCCTGCATATAATATTCAGTGGTTTAAATTGCACGTCGTTATGTTCTAACGTTCAGAGTGAAGAACTTATTGATCATACTTTGAACCTGTTTCAAGAGTTAGCATCTGGGTGAGTCTAATTTAGCAAATTTCTGAACCTTCTATAATATATATTGCAAATATATTAACAAGCATGAGGGGGGAAAATCGTTTGCAGTTACATGACCCAAAAGTTACTTCTCCAATTGGATTCCGTCAAGTTTATAATTGCACACCATACGGTATATCTATGTTTTCGCCTCACTTATCAGTTCCTTATTAACATTAGGTATTAAATGTTTGTGCACTACCGATTAATCACACTCTTCTACATTTCTGTCTTAGAAAGAACATTTCCCATTCCTAGAAAAGCATGCACGCTCTCGCAGTAGAACAACATTTTACCACATTATAGGATGGCTAATCTTTGTAGAGGGTAGTTCTATGAAATTCAAAATGACAATGGATCCTCTTCTCCAGGTAAAATCTATCACCTGCCTTTTTCATTTGACACAGATATGCTTTTTTTTTATATTTAGTGTGTGATGCTCTGATGGTGCACTTTATTGGTGTATCTTGTTAGTAGACATGATTCACTTCCATCGCCCTCAGATCTCTGAAATTGATGCTTTAATAATACAATGAATAGATTCTTATACTATTGTGAGGTGTTTTGTTTTAAGGTGATGACATTATAAAACCGTCCAATGTTAAGCTTCATGCTATTTGAAATGTGTGTTAAAGATTGGTGTCTTTTTTCCATGGTTGCAAAAGTTTCTAGGCGATTGACTCTACCCTTGGAATATGCAGTTTTAAAGATTCATATTATTTTATTGAAACTTATGTCTAGTTATTCTATTTTCTATTAAATATTAAAAAAAGATCATCCAACAATAGAGTTTCAATTTAAATTTTTGTTTGGCCTATTGGCGCCTAAGCAAACATGTTTTTACATCACTCGTTTCCGCTTTCAAGTATATTTATGTTTTTGCTGCTACATATATGTAATGATCAATATATTTGAAGTTGAAGTGTTGAACGAAATCACCTATTGACACTTGTTTCTGTTTAGGTTTTCCTTACTTTGGAGTCAGTGCAGGACACAATGTTTCGTACCGATACAGTGAAGTACGCTTTGATTGGACTTATGCGGGACATTCGTGGGATTGCTATGGCTACTTATAAGTATGCATTTTTTTATTTTACTAATTTGGTTTTGGCCCATACTTCTCTATACACCAACCTTTGTTTGTGTTCAGTCATAGGGCTTATTGTCAACTTTTTGACTGGATATATCCTGCACGCATGCCTGTTCTATTAAAGGGAATCTCACAATGGGCTGATACTCCAGAGGTAAGTGAATATGAGATCCCAAACATTGAAGTGATACTTATTTATGTTTGTTAGTGTCTGTAACGTATAAAATCCCATGCATTTAATGTTTGCTTACCTCGGCAAAGGTTATTGCTTATTCTATTCTCCGATTACTTCATTTGGGTAATTCAGACATATCTATATAGCTTTTAAGGATTGGCCTTTGTTTTATTGTTTCATGCAGATTTTACTTTCTGAAGGTTTTATCATATTGTTTTCTGATGAGAGATTACAGATCCCTGTATAAACATATATATGGATGCGACCTAATTCTTCGTTTGATTTCACAGGTCACTACACCATTGTTGAAGTTTTTGGCTGAGTTCGTGTTAAACAAAGCTCAACGATTAACTTTTGACTCTTCTTCCCCAAAAGGCATACTTCTTTTTAGGGAAGTTAGCAAATTGCTTGTTGCATATGGATCAAGAATCTTGTCAATTCCAAACCCTTCCGATATGTATGCCTACAAATACAAGGGAATATTGATTTCTTTAACTATTCTTTCACGAGGTAATCGTTGAAATCATGTGTATAAACAGAAATCCTTCCAAAAAACAAACAACAAAGAAGGTTAAGGTTCACTGGATTGTTGACTTTCTCTAATGACAGCTCTTGCTGGGAATTATGTAAACTTTGGTGTGTTTGAACTCTACGGAGATAGAGCACTTGCAGACGCACTGGACATCACCCTGAAGATGACACTGTCAGTTCCATTGGCTGATATTTTTGCATACACAAAGGTAAAATGCATCTAATAGAAAGTTTGCACTCTTCCAGAGTTCAGTTGATCCTTTTTTTGTTCATAAATTGTTTTATTCGTAAGATCCTAGTCCAAACTCTGATAGCTATGGAGACCAACCAATGTCTTTCATCTTCATCATGTATTAATGATTGACCCTATTTCTGTAGTTGTGTTAGTTACTGTTAGGCTAGATTATTGAAACTATGCTGTCCCCGTCTGCCAGGATTTTTTTTCAGTGAAATTTTTATGCAAGTCGATAAGGGCATGAACTCCGCGACTTCTATTGACTTTAACATTAGTTGTTGATTCTGTGGAGAATTTTTAGCCAAGGCATCATATTAGAACTAATAGGAAACATTGGTTCTGCTTCAAATTGTTTTTCCCTATTAATGACTAACATTTCATTAAAATCTGTATTCACCCAGTTAGCACTTCAAGGAAAAGAGGCTTTTCCTCATAAGTTCCAAACAGTGTTTCGGTTTTTAGTGCTTTCCTAGTTATTCTATCTTTTCTACATTTCATAGTAGTTTCAGCTAAATAATAGTTAGAGCCTTGGATGGCATTGGGCAGGGTCCATTTGAACCCAGATCCATTTTATTATTATTTGTTTGAACCCATATCCAATGGGTCTATAGATGGTGGAACCGTACCTATAGCCTCTCGCTCCAACGGGTAAATAGGTTTTTAGCGGATCCACATTATTTATTATTAAAATTAATATTTAGTCATGATACACAAAGTGTATCCAGCACTTAAAGTTGACAAAGACTCAAATAACATATATAAGACTTAACCAAATGCTCCCTCTGTCCGCAATAGGTCCTCCCAAGTTGACTTTTTTTGTGGTTTTAAGGAGAGTTGAAAAAAGGTGGAAGTTTACTAAAATACCCTTAATGAAATTGAGTGGAGTATATCAAATGAGGTGGGTGAGGTGTAATAAATAAATTAAGTGGGGGTAGTTGTGATCTTTTAAATGTTAAAAAAAGGTAATGTGAAGATCTTTCCTAGACAAACAAAAAGGGCATTTGGGAAGATCTATGGCGGATGGAGGGAGTACTAAATATTAAAACTGTTAACACAAATTTCTAACAAAACCTTCTTGGGAAAAAACATGGATCAACCTATTTACAAATTTTAACAATTTAAAACTTTAGATTAAATGTAGATTTTATTTAGAGAACACCAATTTATTAAGATATTAATATATTTTAATTATAGAATTGTATGAGAATAAAATAAAGAAAACTAAAACATGTCTCCTGAACATGATGTTGGCTAGAGATTGGAGGTTAGCCCACATTTTCAGCAATGCAGTGGCTAGGCTGACTAGCGTCGCCGTGTTTGTGATAATTGGATATAGATCTGTCACATACGATGAATCCCGAAGAGATCTAATAGACGAAGAAGGAAGTTGTATTGAAAAAACAAACAGAAATTGCAGTGCTGTAGTGTGCGATAAAAGACAACTTTCTTTAAAATATATCTGCGTGTGGTCTAAGTGTGGGTCTAGATTTGGATATGAGTAAGGATATGGGTCTCAACATTTGGGCTCAATTCCAGATTTGAAAAAAGTTGACCTATACCCATTTGGACTCCCCAGACCCAAATCTGACCCATATCCATTGGGTAAAAAAATTTGGACTCATATCCTTGAAAATCGATCTAGGTCGGGTCTTGGAACCAGAACAATCCCTAGTTAGAGCACTAAGTACGTATATCCCGAATTACATAGTTGCATGAAAGACAGTGTATTTGCAACCACATCTTTTTTTTGTCTTCTTTTCATGTATGTTGGCCACCTAAACGAACACTTTAAGCTTTTCCATCAGTATCCTTCATTCCTATTTACTACAAGTCAAAATACATGAGGTCATCGAAATGTTAAGCTTTTCCATTGTCTATATTTATCAGGGTGTATTGTACCTACATTTGCATACGGTGCCATATGATATTGATGCTTGGTTGTAGGTCATATTATTTCAGTCAACCTTAGCATCAAGTAAACTTGAAAGCTAAATTCCAGTGAAACTCTTCTCTTTGCAGCTCACAAGGGCGTACTTTTCCTTTTTGGAAGTTCTTTTCAACAGGAATATTGCTTTTGTACTTAGCCTTGATACAAAAACGTTTGTGCACATTGTTGGTTTGTTGGAATCTGGTTTAAAAGCACTGGATGCTCGTGTACCCACTCAGGTGATGACTCCAGACCTATGAAATTGTGAAAATGTTCTTTATGCTCTGCATTCATATTACTCCATATTTAAGTTTTTTATATTATTTATAATATTGATGTACGGAGTACCTCTCTACTTTCGAGTAGGGGTAAGGTCTGCGTACACACACACTCTTCTACTTTGGTGGGATTCAATTGGGTGGACCCAAACCACATGACGTAGGTAATTAAAGTTCTCAACTCGACTCCAAAGTAACCAAATTTGAACCCAACTTGACTTTCCAATTTGCAAGATCTACTCCCTTCTCAGTCCATGTATTTTTCTGCCTATTTTGACTTGGTGCACTTTTTAATGTAAGATGAAAAATGAATGGCTTTCCATTTTGCACTTGGCTATGTAATAAATTGAAAGGAGATGTAAAAAGGTGAATAGTCAAAAAGTAAGGGTAAAATAGTCTTTTAGTTGTATAAAAAAGTGAATAGTCTTTCCATTTAAGGAATTGAGAAGAAAGATATAGGGCGACCAAAAAAGAGAATGGAAAGAAAGATATAGGACGATAGAGTAACATTTTGTGGAACGTATCAATGGTTTTGAATAAAAATTAATAAAAAAACATTTATTCCTCGATTGGTTGGAGAATTTGGAAGAGAGGGGGTGGAAGTGAAGCAGCTCTATAGACGTTTTCAAGCTCATATCTAGCACGTTTGAGGGCTTTGGGGGAAGTATTAGTTTTAAATATTCTTTTTTGACTTTTTAATCAAAATTGTTCATTTGTTCTACATTATTGTCGCTCTGCATATAGCTTCTAGATTCTCAATTACAGCAAAATCATACTCTATCATTTAGGGGCTGTTTGGCAACTTCTGAATCGGTAAGTGCTGAACCAGTAAGAGGTCCGAACCATTAAGTGCTGAACCAGTAAGAGGTCTGAACCATTAAGAGCTAGTATATTGCTTAACTATTCAAAGGCAAATGTCTGATCAATTCAGATAAGAGGTCTTAACCATTCAGACTCTGTATAATACTTAACCATTCAGAGGCAAATCTCTTAACCATTCAGACATCTGAACCATTAAGAGGCTGNTGTTTGGCAACTTCTGAATCGGTAAGTGCTGAACCAGTAAGAGGTCCGAACCATTAAGTGCTGAACCAGTAAGAGGTCTGAACCATTAAGAGCTAGTATATTGCTTAACTATTCAAAGGCAAATGTCTGATCAATTCAGATAAGAGGTCTTAACCATTCAGACTCTGTATAATACTTAACCATTCAGAGGCAAATCTCTTAACCATTCAGACATCTGAACCATTAAGAGGCTGAAACAAACAGCCCCTTAATCTTTTATACAAATACTCCGTATAGTATAGTTTTAAAAATCAAAATTCCTAGTCACACCTTGATTGAACAAACTTGACAAAAATTTCAACTCTCCTCTTTTCCTCCCCTCTCCTCTTTTGAATTAAACAAGGGGTCGTAGCTTGAGAGCCCATTAAGCTTTTAGATCACTTTTGTATTGTTTGAAAAGTAATTTTCAACCCTGGCTGATTTTTCAATTTTGGAGAGAGAAGCTTGTCAATTGTCATATGGAATTATGAATTCCATATTTTTTTGCTTATTCTTTCTTCATGACTATTACTCTCTCCGTTCCTTTTATAGTACCCCATTTGACTGGGCTCACAATTACAAGAAGAGTTAGCGACTAAGAGATTTGTGGTTGAAATTTATTTTGAAGAGAGAAATAATGTGAACCTCATATCCGTTCCTTCAGTTAAAATGAGTAATTTTACTGGGACAAACAAAAAGGAAATTGTTTGGTTCTTAAGGGATATGAATGTCAGGAAAATAACTGATGTATCAGAAGCCGAAATGCATTTTGATAGCAGCTATGGAGCAAGTATGTTTTTATTGAAACTTTTCATGCACTCTAGTTGAATTACTTGAATATGTGAATCACCAAAGTTGGTGGTTTTATATGTAGTTCCATACATTTGTTGGGTGCGTTCTTTTTTACCCGTGTTATAAAACCACTATGCAATATTTTAGCAAAGATATTTTCACACGGTGCTTAAGCTCTGCATACTTTTTATCTGCTCAGTGTGCATCCGCATTCGACAATCTAGCTTCATTCTACTTCAACAGCATCACAATGGAGGAAGCACCCACTTCACCTGCTGCTGTTAGTCTTGCTAGACATGTAGCAGAGTCTCCCAATTTATTTCCTCAAGTGAGTTAAATTGTTTTGTTTCTACAGCTAAATTTTCTACTCTATTCTTGGTAAAGATGCAAAAAAAAGATCCTTAGATTAAAAAAGTTTGCCAAGCCAAAGCAAATACACCCAACATATCCACAACAGAGCAGGGTTTTTTTTTCTTTTTTTCTTTTTAGAAGGGCGGAGGGAGAGGGGCGGAGGGGGAGGATTTTTCTGAGAGGACATCCAACGAACAATTTACATGTAGTGTGAGAAGTGAGTGAAAAAAATGCTCTTTATTGACTTAAGACATTGTTCGTGCACACGGATGCTGACCTATATTGCTACTCCCTCTGTCCCACAGTAAGGCTCTCATTAGAAATTTGTACACACTAAAAAAGCGAAACTTTGTTTTGAGAGAGATTTAGAAAAGATATAAAAAAATATCACACTCAGTATTATACACTCTCTAATACACTCAACCACCAAACTATTTTGGCATAAAATGTCATGTAAAGCTATTTAAGGCTCTGATCTTTTCGGTTGGAATTCTAAAGTTGGATGTTGGAAGAAAGTAGAAAAAGTTGGAAGAAACTGGAAGGAGTTGGAAAATGTTGGAAAAAATAATTTGTTAAAATATCACTCAACTAAATGATCACCCAAATAAATATATAAGAAAACTAATTTTGGATATAAAAAAGAATTTATTTTTGTCCGTGTTTGAGGTGTTATGTTATAAATTTGGATATATAATGTTATTGTATAGTCATCATATGTAAATACATTTTTCAAGTTGTTGGAAGAAACTAATAAGAGTTGGAAATAAATGGAAGGAGTTGGAAGGAACTGGAAAGAGTGGGAAGTAATCTAATCCAGATTACAGTTTTTCAACATGGTATTAGAAATGTGCAAATTATGGTTATTTACTCGAGGTTTTGTGTTGATTGAATGCACACTATTGTACATGCTAACCACAGTGTTTTTACATAATTGCACCTGTTTGGATCACCTTTTTTTCAGATTCTAAAAACGTTCTTCGAGATTTTTCTTTTTGAAGACAATGGCAACCAATTGAATTTTAGCAAACCAATGCTAGGATTGGTGCTTATCTGTCAACAGGTGATTGCTTACAGATCTTTCCCTAATTCATTTAATATTAGATGCTTAGGAAAAAGTTTTTTTTACAATCTGTAAACTGTGTATGTTTTGCCTCTCTACACCCTACACAATAATGCCAGTGCTGCACATTGTTTGTGTGAGTGTATACGACCATTAATCATTCTCCTAGTATACAAACAACAACAAAGCCATTAAGTAATATTCAGGATAGTGATTGATGGAATATTGAACAACAACAACCCAATTAAATCCCACAAGAGTAGGGTCTGGGGAGGGTGTGTGTACGCAGACCTTACCCCTACTCGAAAGTAGAGAGGCTGTTTCCAAAGAGACCCCTGGCTCAACGTCGAAAGTTGCATTGCTTGACTAACTGCTACTTCATTAATTAAAGAAGCGCAGACAGTTTAGAGATCCATTTTGATTTATTCCATCACACCCCAAAGCCAAAAAATGGTGAAATTTTGGCTCCATCGGAGATGATGAAAATGATGGAACATTGAAGTGGTAGTTATTTTTTTAATAAGTCCTTGGCCTGTTTATCTTTTTTTTTACTCTGGAATATATTGTACTCCATATGATTTACTCCGTATAATTTATTTCAAGGTGTCTTGATCTTCAAAGCACATTTGACACTTCATTGTTGTTTTGTTTTGTTTTGAATATTATACGGTTGCACAAATGCTATTTATGAGCATATACTGAAACTTGATTACTTGGTTAATGTTTCTTTGCAGATATTCAGTGATATAAAAGCTCAAGTTCTAGCTTCTCAGGTTAGCTCTCTCGCGCTTTCCTCTAAAAGATTTTCTGCTCTCGATTCCTTCACTCCGTTCCTATGATTCTTGATTCAATTCAGAAAACCCTTTTTGTGTTCAATGTTCGTCCTACATCACACCGTTCTTTCAGAGTACTATGTGTTGGGTTTCTCTCCTCATTCTCTGCATTCATGCGTGTTTTTCTTCCGATTGCAGCCAGTTTATCAGCACGAGCACCTCTCTTTATGTTTCGACAAGTTAATGATGAATGTCACGAATTGCTTGGATACAAAAAATCGCGACAAATTCACCCAGAATTTGACAATATTCAGGCAGGAGTTTCGGGCTAAATAGGCTTCCGCGTTTTTTCATAGCTAGTTAATGTTGTTTTTTTGGAGGCAAGTGAATTATTTGAACTTCTTTCCTTGATGGGTTTTATATCAGCATTTTTCATTGTCTTTTTTTTATATTAGTTTTTTATTTTATTTTTTTGGGTCACAATGTATAGTCACTGTGAGGCACCAAAGGTATCTTCTCTGCTGGCTCAACTTTGTGATACTGGTGTTGTACATATTATAGCACTCTTAATAGTGAGGGAAAAAAATCATTACCAATCTCTAAACACTTTTTTCTCATCCACATCATTATTTTGGGAACTTTTTTTTCCCAATGGTAAGAAAGCACTTGACTCATGAGTATTTTCTCACCATTGACATAGCTCTTAGTGTTACATAATTTGCAGAGTGTAAGTTATGAACATTGTGAAAAGTAGTTGAATTTTTTGTTGATAAATATTATGATCCGGCCATGAGTGACGTATATATTTCATTAAAAAAATTGAGAAGTATGAAGGTTATATTGGAACAAATGAAAAAGGTGTAAAGTTTATTTTGAAATAGAATTTTTTTATTAGTATAGACAATTGAAAAAAAATTGACAATTATTTGTGACATTGGTAATTTTTAATTTATAAGTTACTTCTAAGTTAAATATTCTTTTCTAAATCATATTCTAACTAGCACGATATTACTCTCGATCCACTTGACCCCATATTTGTGCACTCTTCGATCTAGTTCGATACTCTTTCGCCTAGTTGCCTAGGCCCCCGGGTTCCTTAACTCAACAGTTTAATTTTGAGTTTTTACGGTCAATGATTTTCAATTTTTGATACATAACTAAATAAAAAATAAATTATATGTTAATTAGATAAAATATTAATGTGAAAATAGTTTGCAAATAGAATCTAATAAATATATTTTGTGTCAATATCTAATATCATTTTTATGTAATTTTGATTACAAATTACATAAAAATGATATTAGATATTGACACAAAATATATTTATTAGATTCTATTTCTAAACTATTTTCACATTAATATTTTATCTAATTAACATATAATTTATTTTTATTTAGTAATGTATCAAAAATTGAAAATCATTGACCGTAATTTCACAAATTCAGTGAGAATTTTTTTAATTTGTCCATTTTTCCGATGTTGCGATTGAGTTTCAGATTTGTGGTTCCAATTAAATCTTTTACGCTCAAATCAAACATAAAATTAGGGTTGAGAAAATTAGGAAGACATGCCCTAATCTAAGATTAGACATAAAACCAATTACATAAACACCCACCAATGATTCTTTGACTCATAATCAAATGAGCAACTAAACAAGAAAACTGTCCGTCCTTTAAAAAATAAATGTTCTTTTTGTTGATTAAAGAAGGGAAGAAAATATTCTTAATAACATGTAAGTGATGTACAAAGTTCTCTCTGAATGGATATAACGTTGTAAACTATATTTAAATGAACAAAAGATTACACAAGTTCCATTGTCGTCCAGCGGTTAGGATACTTGGCTTTCACCCAAGAGACCCGGGTTCAATTCCCGGCAATGGAATAAATTTTGTTTCTTTTTAGAACTGGCCACCCGCTGATTACTCATTACGAGTAATAATAATCCACTCCCCTTTTTTTGATTAAATTATATAAAAGATCTCTAGTTATAAGCTATTTTACATATTTAGTTCTTACATATCAAATATCAATAAATTAGACTATAATTATTATATTGTTTTCATAAATAGTCTTTTATTAACATTTCTGTTAAAGACATCGATAAAATTATATGTTCACACTCCTCTCTCTTTTTCATTAAGCTTCCCCCCTCCTCTCATACTCATTCACAAACTCGTCGTTGAGTTTGAAACTCTAAACACAAAACCAAAATGATCGCTCCTCTCTCATTTGTTCATCTTTCTGGTGGAACCTAAAATCTAAACCAATAAACTTCATAGATGAGTTTTATGAGTTAGTCCCAATGAAGGTTACTAGTTTTAATTTTGGATTTCACCACAGAGCAGAACAATTGAAGGAAGCTTCAAACTCAGCGACGAGTTTGGAAAAGAAGTGTGAGAAGAGAAAGGAATTAGCTTAATTGAGGACAGAAAAGAATGTGGATTTACAATTTTATCCACATTTTTAACGAAATTGTTAATAAAGAACCATTCGTGGAAAATAATATAATAATTGGGGATGAAATTATTGATATTTGATATGTATGTACGAAATATATGGAACGAACTATAACTGAGGACTTTTTATGAAATTTACTCCCTTTTTTAAGAATAAAAATATTAGATATACTCCACAGAACGGATAAAACTCTTTAACTTTTAATTTGCTTTTCAAAATAAAAAAACTTTATCCAAATGTATTCTAAAATCTTTTTTTTTTATGTTATTCACTCTGCAATAATATAGCATATATTGATACTTTGTTAATCTAATGATATATATTAAGCTAATAACTCTATTTACGTTGGAAAAATTCATAAAGATGCTCATCCAAATTTGTTAGTGGTAATGTTTATTTCCTAATGGTTCTTTTGACCTTGGTGCAGGGAGGTTGGGGGTGGGATAGATTTGTGTTAGAATATAAATAACTGTTCCTGGGCCACAACCACAAGCTTGTGGTTCCTTGACATGGTATCGGAGCCTCGTTGACTAAGAGGTCACGGGTTCGAAACTCAGCGCCACCCAGTTTAAAAAAAATTAAGGTTTCACGTGCAAGGCTCGAAAAAGACTACGCCTGCACGTGAGGGGGCGTGTTAGAATATAAATAACTGTTCCTGGGCCACAACCACAAGATTGAGCTTGTGGTTGAATTGATTCCTTGACAATTTGGGTGTACGGACTATTAATTTTATCAACGGATCGCTATAGGTATATGGTCATTTGAAAGTCATTTTAACACAAGGTCAAAAGATATTTTCTCTTAGCTATTTACTCGTATTTGAATGAAATGTCCTTTTTTGGGACTAAATATGCCTAAATTCAATTTTCTAATACCATAATGGACATATTTGAAAATAGCGTTAGAGATTATCGTTAGCGTTTTAGATAAAATTTTAAAGGTACAGATTACTTTGAACCACTTGAATGACCTCACCATCTTGCCTATGGGTGTGCATGATTTGGTCCGAACCCGGACCGACCTGAAAGCCGATCAAAACTTGACTGGTCACTTTCTAGTCCGGTCTTCGGTCCTCCAAAATTTCTTCTTCGGGTTTTGGTATGGTCCACTTATTCAAAACGAAGAGAAGATTGTGCCCACAAATGTATTATACACTCCGTAGTTGATTACACTAAATAACCAACAAATATACAATGTCAAATTTTCACATGACAATAATCCTATTTTGAGATTAAAAATACTCCCTCCGTCCTAAAATTAACTTCTCAGTTTGACTTTTGTAGTCAAACTTTTTAAACTTTGACCGTTTATTACGAGAAAAATACATTGAATTTTCATATAAATTTATTAGCAATAGATTCATTTTGAAGCATAGTTTTGAAATATATAATTTTTATATAATATATTTATATAAAAATTGAGATATTGATGGTCAAAGTGTCGCATTGGAGACCGTGAAAAGTCAAATAAGAAGTTAATTTTAGGACGGAGAGTGTATAAAATTTTTACTTTATTTCTAATTCTATCTTTTAGTACTAAAATGTAGATTTTTTTAGAATATATATCGAGTAGAAGGCTAGAAGCCATGTGAATGTATATGAGCAAGTGAATATTTGAAGGGTTATGCTACACTTACACCACAAATTGTACCCCATTTGTACACCGCAGTTATACACAAATATTTTGATGGTTTACACCAACATAAGTGTTGGTGCATTAACAAAAATTTACACAGACACAAAGCGTTGGTGCATTAATAAAAATTAGTTTTACATCAACACAAAGTGTTGGTGCAAAGCTACGGGTACAAAACATGGGATACAAATAGCTTTACCCATATTTGAAAGGAAAAAGACCCAAAAAGTCCGGCCGCTGATCCCAAAGTCCAAACTCCACCGCCCTGCCCTACTTTCTACTTTGAGCATGGAAATTTTAGGCTAAATTTTATACTCCCTCCGTCCTATAATAATCTTCCCGGTTCGCAAAACGAAAAAAAATCCCAAGTTTTTTCAATCTATTTTATTTAAATATTGGTATAGAAATAAAAAATAAAACATACATATTTAAAAACTACACCAAAAATTCAACAAAACAAGTGGTGACAAGAATATTTTATTTTATCATATAGGCCATGATAAAACACAAATAAATATAAATTCCCGTGAAGTTTGAATAGTGCTCTGGGAAGATCATTATAGGACGGAGGGAGTAATTACTCTTTCGAATTATTACATCGTGCACGATTTATCTTTCAACTTTAAAATTTCAAGAATATTCTTTCAAATCGGGTTAGTTTGTACAATTAGTTTTTCCAATAACTTTTTCATTAGTCCATACACTTTTTTCATTTTTCTTTATAAATACATGTGAGGGGCCCTCTCTTCTTCATATATAAATGAGCTGTTGGGAGAGAAGCAACAAGTAGGATGCACACAAAATTGATTAACCACAATTGATATGAGCAGCACATCAAATAAACCACAATTGATTAACCAAGCACAATTGATTAACCAAGCACACAAAATCAGCAGCACATCAAATAAACCACAATCAAATATGAAGAATAAAGATGCAAACGACACACGATTTTTATACGTGGAAAACCCCTTCGATGTGAAGGATAAAAACCACGGGACTTATAGGGAGTCCGCCCTCTTCTTCTCTTATTATGCAAATTGAGGGTAAAAACACCCAAACTCAGTCTACAAGGATGTCACAGCCCACCAACAACAACATACATAAGAGGCACCAACAATAGAGAAGGAAAATCAGGATTATCACCCAAAAACGCAGCGTCGCACCAGCTGCGATTACAGAAGATCCGTAGCTCCGATTGAAGTGAAAATTGAACAGATTGAAGCCCTAAGTGTTGGGAACAACCTCTGAAAATTTCAGCTCAATCCAACGGTCGGATCTCCGGAGATGATCGAATTTGTGCGGCTGGTCTGTAAATTCTGCACCAGCACCTTTCCTCTCTCTATTCTGTTTTTTTTTCTTTTCTGCTCTGTCCGTAAGTGCACCACTGCCCAGCCCCTT